CGAATCTTAAGTAAACCAGACGAAAGACTCGGAAACCAGAGTGTCAAGTGCGAGAATGAGAGTAGTGTTGTCGAGACAGACTATTGGAGAACCTTTACACAAAAGGTTGTTGTTTGAAGGAATGTACTATAAAGACGAGCATTGTTAGCATTGCGAATAACATGTACAAGAATCATGATACATCCAAGGCACCGGAGGCGATACAGGCTCGCTTGTCATGCCTGGACCAAGGCGGTACAACTTACAGAATGAGAGTACAAGTGCAACACAAGGACTAGCCTCGGTACAGGAAAAATGCAAAAAAAAAAAAGGAATGAAAAAGAGCGCACGTCTCTTGCCTCGGTTGACAAACAACTTGCGATGCCATGGTCGAGGATATCAAGGACTTTTATGTCTGTCGACAGACAAGTTTGATAGCCGCGCTATCCTTGCCATTTCAAAGCCAAGAGAATTCGGGGATCAAGTGTTGTGAGAAAGGGCTTTGGCTTGTGTGTCATCTTGTTCTTCTTTCCATGTACTGGTAGGCGACTTGATGTTCTGGTTGAATTAGAATTGGGTACTCCGTAATTAGCCAGGGCTAATTAACCCCATTCAGGGGTTGTATTGTATCAAATCGATCCGTGGTGGGCCGCTAGTTGCAGTGTCAAAAGTGGACGTGGCTCCATCACAGTGTCCCTTCACACGGCCAAGGGACGGGCAAGGGAGAAGGGAGAAGGGAGAAGGGACGGTGCCAGCTCGGCGCAGGCAAGGTGCCGGCATCATGCTAAAGCCGTTGCCAAGAGGTGCCAAAAGCCACCACACGTCACGAATGTAACGTGAGATCAATAAACAGCCTGTTGTCGATCTTTATTTTTTACTCCGTACATAGAAGAGCACGTCCGGGGATTCGTCACATGATTTGAATGGTAGATGACGGCATAAATTAAGCACCACACATGATCACCACGGCAGTCCCAGCCAGCCTATCAAGGTACGGAGTGCCAAACTCGTAGTTAATTCCTTACGAGGAAGGTGCGGGCAATGAACGTTGAGCTCTAGGGCAGCTGGAGAACCCCCACCTTTGCACTTTTGACACTGCGACAGCCCACCAGGCCCCACCACCGAGAACCTGCTCCGCGAGCGGGTGCGCCTTCCCAGCTGAGCTCTTGCCCTGGCTGCGCCTGACATAAGCATCACCGGAAGTCATGGTATGGTAAACTTGTCCCCTTTCTCCTCGGTAAATCCCCTCTCACCTGAAATGTAAATAGCCGGTGTAAGCCCGGTCCAGGCCCGTCCGTCTGGTAGGTCAACAACCCCGCCCCGTAGCACCTCGTTGCCAAGACAGCCGTTTTCTGCAACAAGGGAATAGAATTGTACATGCAAGAACAGGTTTTACATGGACGTGGATAAGGGTAAAATGAGCTACCATAAGACGAGTTGAGATGGGAATGGAAGCATGTCATTGTGTTGGGCCCGCACCGTCACCAGACGTGTGAGGCACCACATCACGAATACTGCACCAATAATCTCACCTCATGATGAAGCTCTTGTGGCCTCATCGCAGACCACTCCCTTCGGTCCCTCGCAAGTCGCGCGCCACCGTGGGATACTCGGAGGGTTTTGAAACAGGGCCAGGTTGCTTTAATATACACACTCATGCTACCAGACTTTGGACCGCGACCGTCATTCGGCCAACTCCATGTGTCAAATTTCCAACGCCCAGCCAAGTGGAACCCGGAAGGGAGATGAGATGATGCCACCCCACGCCGAGCCACGCCGCGGTGGTCCGGTGGATAAATGGACCCGCAGTCCCGTTTAGGCAAGCGCCTGGGGCCGTGCGGCCGTGTCATTCGCACCCGTCCATATCCTTGTTTGCTCCGAAACGGACGACCGCTTCCCAATTAGATCGCATCATGGGGACCACGCATGAAGCTGGTGGCTCTCCCCGCCCCTAATTTATTTCTGTACGCGCCATCGAATCAGGACGCCAGGAGCTAGTGTTTTAAACCGCCCAAGAGGGAGCGGATGGGTTGGGTGATGGCTCGTCGCGCTCTCACAGGCAACGGGGGCCTGCATATAAAGGGGGGAAGTCGACATTTTGAGACTTGCCAGTTCCGACGGTTGCCACCCAGGCGGCAAAACGGCGGAGCGGGGGGAGGAGAGCTGTATTGTAAATTGCTCGTAGTTGAGTGTGATGACGGAGAGTCATGAGCTATGGAAAATTCTGTCCATAATGGATTACTCTGCCCTGATTTTAAGGAACTGACTCGGCGATCCCAATACGCGAGATTGGTAGTAAAATTGTGTTGAAAGTATTCGACGACAGCCATGACGGCGTTGATGAAGGAAAAGTATAGCCAAGATACAGATGAGCTGCTGTGGTCCAAGGTCTAGGAGACCAGTGTTTAGCAAGGAATTCTTGCCATTCTAATATACATGGGCCGCTTGAGGCTTTTTCCAAGACTTTGCTCGTTGAGGACTCCCTGACTCTCACTGGTCCCGTCCTCCTGCTTTCCGCTCCCCAGCACCCAGAAAGCAAACCGAGGGAGCCTGGCGGCAATCTCGGAAAATGCCGGGCTTGAAATCAGCTGGCGCTATTTCACGAATATCAAAAAATGCTGCTTGTTCCACACTTGGATGTGGCAAGAGATGGGCCAAAAGTCAGCTTTATAAAGGCCGGCAAGAACTTCCACCAAGCTGTAATCTTTGCCCTGAAAGAAGTTCTGAAGAAAAACAGCTGGCTTTGGACAAGATTTCCTCACCAGTCCCAAAGGAAAGGAAAGGAAAGGCATCTCATTAGACACCCTCTAGTTTTAAGCGTGAGGATGACGCCTACCTCCTTTCAAACGGGCAGACGCCAATCACGGAGAATCCTGCAAGGAAAATCCGGAAACACCAGTGCACAGCCGCCAAATCTACTTGGGCAGATGGGCAGCTACGCGATATTTAGGTGCGGCCCGGGTTGTCCAGCGAATTCACGGGCCTGACACAATGTAGGAGGAGCAGTGCAATCTAATCAAGACTCCGAAAATCTGAGAATCTAGCCAAGGCATGGGGATGTCTGTTCAAAAAATATAATCTTCTGGTTCTTGTCCTACGGTTAAGATGTTGACTTCATGATGCTAGGGGGCTTGGGGCTAGCCGGCTTTCATTCTCATGATACAAAACATTTGATGCCGGTCAGTACTATTCTCGGGTACAGATTCGATTATTTTGCTCCTTGTCTAAAGCAAAGAATTAACACTCCCCAAAGCACGACGTCTGGTCTCTCGGAGGCGTCTTCTTGGAGTTTTGCGCCTGGTGGCTTAAAGGCCACCATGGCTTGACCACGTTTCGACTCCAACGAATGCGGAGAGTACACTACCGCTCCCCAGTTCTTTGTTTCAACAGACTTGGATGGGCGACTTGAGGCCATGGTGGCCCCGGCTGTTCAGGAGGTAGGTTCGTCTCAAAGTCGGCAAGCAAGCATAAAGTTTCATTCCATCGACACTAATCATGCGACGGTGGATCCGGCGGGATCGTGACATTGGGAAAGACGATCCATTCGCGATACCAATGTTGGACCTGGCTGAGCAGGAAACGTTGGGGTTCAATTGTAAGGCACGGGTGACGATTTATCGTGTTGTGCCAGGACGGGGCGGATTCTGGGTCAGCTTCCACGAGATCAAGTCTCCGAGAGTCTCTACTCGCGGATCGTCTGTCCGAGGTCGATTACAACCGCAAAGGGCAAGATAGGAGACCATGATGGAGCAGGTGGAATGGCTTGGGACGGTTCAAGATGCAACAAGAGACTCCTGGATTCTCATATGGGAGCTAAAGGACATGGAGGAGCTCCGCCTCAACATGTTGCACGGTTAGGATCCAACAATAAAGCCCAACAAAGGGGCATCGCCGACAGAGGACCTCGAGGCTACACAGAACTGAACACATAACCCGGTGGAAACCTTGGGAACTGCTGTTATTTTTGTGTATATATAGTAGTCACTTATCCCTACCCTGCTCCAGAAAACCAAGGACGTTTGACATGCTACGAGATTATCTTGGAATCGAGTCATTAGCTCCAAGCCCTATTAAGCCCTTGTCACAGAATACGAGACAAAACAGGATCGAATAGACTATCAAGTTTCTTCTAGCTATAACTTATTCCTGGTCAATTCTTGTTTCTGGGATTGATCAAGTCTTACACGTGATTTGTTGACCTCAGCTAGACATGTCCGATTTTTCTTAAACGCCAGGGTTGTTAAGATGCGGCTCGGCCAAAAAGCCAGACAATAACCACATTGTCAACTGAGACTAAATCGGATCTATAGCACCTGAGTGCATGTTGTATGGGTTTCCACAAGGTAAACATGAGATGATGTTTACAACTACAATCAGAAAGAGAGCATGTCAACGGAAATATAAAGGGGTATAGCTGCTATTAGATTAGAGCGTTTTGTGATGGAGAAAGTATAGACTCTGAAGATGGCGCGCAACCTCATATCAACAGGCATCATTGACGGACTGTGAGAAATGTGAGGGCATCTTCCTCTTGAAGTGCTAGCTAAAAACTGACAAAAGAAATCCTCAACAGCGTCCTTCGTATAGTGCAAGTAAAATCGCACTCACAACCCTTATTATCCAACATTGCAAAAAGATTGAAACACAAAACAAAAACCAATCCAAAACCAATGAAACAATAAATCCAGCGCACTGCAGTTGCAGTTCTTGTCCTATTTCCTTCCAAGTAAACTCCGTCTCCAGTTCCAACACCATCCCGCCCTTGACACATCATCGTATCGTTTTGTTTCGTGTCTTCCGGAATGCAACCATACAGCATGAAAACATTGCATGTGCAACAAGACTCGTGGTGCGTGATAAACCAACGTCAGGTATCAGGTTGTCGGTCTTCTTTCGGTATTGGCGGCCCAGGTCCATCATTCATGGCGATAAATCGCGTGAGGTATCGTGATCGAGCAAAGAGTCGTGAACTCGATGAGGGACACACACGAGTCGCGTTGCGTAGCACCAGACCGATTCGGCTAAATAGAGAACCATTTATTGAATTGATTCTCACACTTGACGAGGGCTTTACCCACGGCCGGTTCCTCTAAGAATTCAAGATCGATAGCCCTGGTTTTCTTCATGATTTGCTGGGCGAGAGGGGTCTATTTGAAGGTTAGGATCGGTTTGATTCACCCCGGCATGAAGAGGATACGTACACGGCCATCGTCATAATCCTTTTCATTAATGACGACAAATAAGCATTCTTCACCCTCAGTTTTAAGAATCTTGGGATGCACACTCTTTTCTCCATAACGCCCACCCAAAACATGCTTGATGTCGTTCCATAACTTCGTTGGATCTTCTAGGCCGACATTTGCAAGGGCAATACAACCTTCTTCTTTCCAGTTCTCTATCTTCAACTCCACCCAGGAGCCGGCGAGGTGATCCTTTAAAACCTCATCCGATACTTCTTCAACAGAAACAGGGCTTTTGTTGCTCATGATGCCGGTTGTTGATGCTCGTGTATGTCTTGATGTCTTGGGATAAGCCACGTGAGGCAAGGGGTTTCTCAATAAGAAAAAGGTGTTGATCATACAACAATGGCGATGATGATGAGAAAAAAACCCGAGGAGGTCGGCGGGTGAGGAGGACATTTATAGTTGCAAGTGCCGCAATAAAACCTGAACAGAACTCAGGCAACGTACCAGAAGTTTTTGAGCAGAAGTTCATAGACAACGACAAAGGTATATTCATAGCAAACCCTGAAACCTGCTGACAGCCATGAAAGCCTTGCATAAAAGAGGGGATTGGAGAGTGTTCTGGCAGACTTGTTCTTGTTCCTGTCTTGTCCTTGTCTTGTTCATACGGGCCGAGGAACCGGGCCGTATCCTGCCTGCAGCTGTGAATCTTCTGACTCAATCATGCATAAGCAGCTACTACTCCATCTTCACAGAAATCCTGTTCTAGAAACAAAACTCCCAAGGAACACAAACGGACGGCACGCCGGGTGATCATCTGCATAGTGACCTGTCGGATTTCAGTCTACGCAGCCTTGTTTTGCTCTCCGCGTGCCCAAGGCGTCTCCCTGACTTCAAGGTAATCAATCTGTGTTCATCTGATGGGCGCTTGGAAGACGAAAGCGAAAATGACAGAATGACATATCAGAATTTCGACAAGGCGACGATGCATGGTGCTGACGGCCTGAAGGCATGGGCGCAGCTACGCTGCTCAAATCAAGGCACGTACAGACCATTCCGGCCGAAAAAGTACTTCACATGGAGACTATTAAGTTGTTCATATTCTGATTGCATGTCGATGTGGTTGGGATGGAAATCAGGGCAAGTTCAAGTGCAGCGATGGAGTCAGAAGCAAGTAAATGGCAGACAGAATGACAAGTCAAAAATAAAAAATAAAAATAAAAATGTCAACTATTCTAAAAAATGTAGCCATTTACAAATTCCCAATCAAATTCCTTGTTTATTTTCTTTGCAAATGATCCCAGGACGCAGGTTCTCGAGCCGTGATGAAGCCAGCATTTGTCCAGTTGTTCAACTTGGACAAGATGCTCCATTTACGTCGCCAGTCACGGAACCCGGGCTATTGTCAATAACAGCCCGTCCAGGTACGGTTCTAGTTGGATAAGAAGGCGGTTCCTTTTCCCTCATGTATTCTCGTAGACGCTCTCCGGTCGAAGCATCACCCTCGTGCTCGCGCGCATGTCCAAGTTTGCGTACCGAGCTTTCGGCGTCGGAGATGAAGTCCCTCGTCCATATCTTCCATGATATCGAACTAGACGCCATGTAGGCAATCCCGTCCGCCTAGGTTGCTCGCTCAAGACGAAAGGAACAGTCACATTTCCGTGGATAGAGTTTCCGCTGCTCACGCTGGCTGGCGGTGCTTGTGTCTAGGTCCATCCACAGACGGCTCTACACCTTCTAGAAGCCTCTTCCTGCTCTCTCATATATTCTCGTAGATGCTTTCCTCCGGTCGGAGCATCATCCTCGTGCTCGCGAGCGTGCCAAAAGATGCCGAATGTGTCGGCGTAGCCGGAATCACGCTTCTATTGTTACTGGTTCTTTGTGCGCATGGCAAATTAGCTTGTAGTAGTACTCACAGGTATGCTGCAGCAAATATCTACGTTGATATACATGGTATTGTCCAGTCTCCCGTCTTGACGGCGAAATTTGGCCCTTGTTCCGCCTCGAGTAGGCCTCCTAGCAAGCCAGGATAAGGGGAACCTTGGGCCATGCATGTCGTTCTTCGTCTTCCCCGATAAGAACCCCTTGGTATGAGGCGGAAATGACGGAAGTTTGGTATATCAAGAGGGTAAAGGCTTTTGGCGTCGGAGCCGGCCCGATGAATAAGTTTGGCGCCGGGCCATGGATAAAAAGTCCGCTCGCCTCACATTGTTGTAATGGTGTCGCCCTGGGTGTAGCATATCCGTATCGGGGCGCTCCGAATTATTTTTCTATTAGACTTCGTTGGTTGTGCGAAGCGCAGATATATCGGTCGTGTTCGTCCTCTGGGCAGGCTTGGTTTGGGGGGGAATGTCTGAGGACATGATGATTTTGTAGACTATGATGGAGTGATGGAGATGGTGACACGAGATGCTCAGACCAGACAGGAGAAAAGGAGAGCAAAAGGCCTAAGGCCTCTCTTTTATGCCTGCAGCCCTCTCGACCACCGAGTTCCCAGAGACTACCAACACATTGACCAAGGTCAGTGGTCATCTACACACATCCCAGACCAGGGGAGCGCGAACACACATACATACAAAGGGGGACAGGACATCTGTTCAGCAATATCTTGCTCTTATGACCTGTCACCAGGCCCATTATGCATCCAGGCCCGCACGTAGGGAAGCCCAAGCGCTCCGTGTCGCCATACCAAGTGCACGAGCTCCCTGGACCTGCAGCTACTGGGACGTACATTCCCGCAAACTCGTCCAAAACACCGTGTCAACAAGCTCCGTCCGCTTTGTCAGGTCACAGGGAGAGTTGGTCCATGACGGGGGCGGCCCGGTTGCGAAACGTCCCAGCGATCCAAGCGTCCCCCTTTTCATGGCACATCCAAAGCCAGGTCTTTTTACCTCCATGGCCACACGACCCCATATTCCAGGAGTCGGTCCCATCAAAGAGGTCGTATCCTGCAAGAAAGAGTCGGGACCCGATCGTCCCGGTAGTACCCTGCTTCGCCCGCCCCCCAGTGTCTTCTCCCAAAGCCATTCTTGACATTGTTTCAAAGAGCCCTCGTGTGGCAAGATATCCTTTGTGGTGGGATAACACCAAGCAGCTGACGACATTTGCTGGAACAACATGATGAAAGAGGTCTGAAACAATAACGCTCGGAGTGAGATGTGCCCCCTGAAGCAAGCGATGAAGTCACAAACGCGGCGTGTCACGCTTGGACTTGGCTGGGGTGGAGGGAATTAGGCGTTCTCTTTTTTATAAAAAAAAGAAACAAAAAAGTTTATCGTAAGACTGTGTCAAGCTAGTATCACGAAGCGGCACGATGTGAAATGGCCGCTGCCACGCTTAACACAAAGCACGGCAAGCCGGAGGAAGAAATTCCTTCAGACACATCTATCGAGGCTTCATTAGTCTATAAGCACACCTATATATATCCAAAGTAGTCCAAAGTGAGTCCTGCATGTATACTTATAGATTCATATATATCGCCAGGTGTAGTCCGCGCTTCTAGTCCCCAGGCAGACACCACAAAGAGCCAGATAGGTGCCGAAATATCGTAGTCCCTTGTGTTTGTGAAAGAACAACAGGTCTCGTCTTCCCTTTATCACAGGTTGGGCCGAGTGAATCGCGGCATCAGTCCAAGCCGACTTGGTCGCATTACCGCGCCGAACCACAACTTCAAGCCCATTGCCAATGTATACCGTCTCCCACACTGGCCAACTATCCATAGCACCTTGGTTGCACTCGTATTTTATCTATCCACTTAGTGAGAAAGCCATTCATCTCATGCACCGGTATATCTATCCTCGGCCCATTCAACCATCTCACACCCCAGATTCTAATGCTTGCTCTCATCCTTCTCCACCAACGCGCCTACACCTAAACTCCTCCCCACCGCGACCTTGATCTTCCTCCCCTCCTTGTCATCCTTGTTCTTCGCCGGATCCCGCCCAACCTCGCCCACGGCCTCGCCCTCGTCCACCCCGTCCGTGCCGTTGGTCTCCCTCTCCGCGTCATCAATCTGCTTCTTAATCTCGTCCAGGTCCAGACGCATGCAAAACGCATCTTCCCCGTCAGCGTAGTACTTTGCCTCCACCTTTTCGTTCTTGAAGCCCAGCGTGTCCTCGTACAGATGGCGAGCGGCGACGTTGGAGACGCGCACGTGCAGCGAGACGTACTTTGCCTGGAAGGTCTCGACCATTGCCTGTTCTGCACCACGTTACATGTTAGCCGAGTCCTCGCAAAAGAAACTGCGCAAAGCCAAAGGTCCCAGCAGAGACGGGGTTCAAGGCCCAAGACAACATACGGCTCTGCCTCATGAGCTTCTCCGCAATGCCCAGCCGCCGGTGTGTCCTCATGACGCTCAAGCTCGTGATGTGGCCGTGCTGCACGCCGTCGGTCGGCTCCTCCTCCATCTTGGCCAGCACGTAGCCCACAATCTTGGGGTAGTCGTAGGGCCCCTTGGGCGGCCGGCTCATGTCCACGGCGACGTAGCTTAGTTGCGGCCATGACAGCGCATGGTACAGGTAGTATTTGAGGAAGTAGTTTTCGGGGAGGTTCTCCAGGTTGGCGTGCTGGATGAGCGGGAGGTCCGCGCTGCTGAGGACACGGATGTCCATTGTGGACGCTCTGTTGGCCCTGGTTGTTCCAAAAGGGAGGAGATGCGCTGTGACCGTGGAGGGCGAGAGTATCGGGGGAGAAGTGGCGCGCGCAAGATCGATTGAGGCGATGGCCGACGGTGCGCGGGTGTGTCTGCGGGTGGTGTGACGAAGTTTTTTTTGGAGTTGTAGATGGCACACGACGCCGGAGCTTGGGGAGTTGTTGCCCCTCGTGGAGGCGGTGGTGGGATATGTGGGGCCGCGAACTCGGTCTTGCGGTGGCACCCTTGGCGAGAAACAAAAGCCGCCAACGGATGAAAAGGAAAGGAAAGAAAAGAAATTGCTGTATTCTTGCTTTACAATACTTGGTGTATAATAGCGTTTTTTGAAACAATTTACTTACTCAAATAATATAATAAAAATATACTTTCATTGCTATAATTGAAATACTTTATACTTTTACATATATAGTAGTAAGCGCTCTCCGAATTAAGTTAGGGGTTATATATAAGCTTTCAATGTTCCTATATATCGACATGTAAAAAACAGTGCACTGTAATAGCGTGCCTTGAGTAAGTTTTTTTTAACTCGTGGCTAATCTACAGTAAGCATAGTAGATTGGGAATGTATTTTTCCTATATTTTAGTGTGCACTATTTTAATTTAGTGCACTTTGTAGATGCCACTTTCCAAGGTAGTCGCATTTTGCACTTTCTAGCCAAGGCGCCACCGTCCACCCACGACAAACATTTCACTCTAAATTGGTGTAGTCATTGCTTTAAAAGAAGAAGAAAAGAAAAATCGTTTCTCTTTGGCACACCAAGTCTATCACTATGACATGATTGCTATATCTCTGTACTACGCCAGCCATGCCCTCTCGCTTCATGCCTCATTCCAAAAGCCTTTCATGCCGTCGCCGCCGTCCCCAGACCATAGCCCTTCCAAAATGGCATCTCGCATAACCACACATCATACAACACCGTCTAAACTCTAATCTTTGTCTACTGCCCGTCAGGCTTGACCCGGATAGGCAAGTCCTTCGTATCACCCGCAGCAGGAGGCACAGCAGCTCCATCCTCTTTCTTCTTCTCCTCCTTTGACGTCGAGTTTTCGCCAGTTGTGGCCTGGGCGCCCCCCGCAGCCTTGGCCGCCTTTCTCGCCTTCTTTTTCTCCTTTTCCTCCTGCTTCTTCCTCTTGGCGGCCTCTTCCGCAGCACGAGACTCGGCACTGCCTCCATACGCCGTCTTCCATTCGGCAACCTTCTTCTCGTCGATACGAGTAAATAGGTACGCAGCTTTGCCAATCTTGTGGCCAGGCTTGAGAATCTCAGGGTCCCAGACGTCAGGGATGAAAGCAAGAGTGGTGTTTAGCTGTTTGCAGATAGACTCTGATGTCGAGGGCATGTACGGCGAGGCAAGAGAAGCCAGCAGGTGGCACAGGTTGAGGGCGAGACCAATCACAGTCTTGGTTCTCTCGGGCTTCTCAACCAAGTTGGTGTTGTCCAGTCTGTACTGCAGCAACATGTTGCCCTCGGTGCTAATCTCCATGAGCTTCTTCACACCGGCACGAATGTGGACCTTCTCCATGAGGTCGACATACTCGGACAGGAGGGCATTGATCCGAAGGATCCAGCCGGCAAAGTCGAAAGTATCGTCGGTATAGGTGGCGGAGAATTCGGGAACGGTGCCGTCGCATTTGGCATTGACAAACTTGACAATACGGTTGACAAAATTGCCAAAGTTGGCGAGCAGCTCGCTGTTGTTGGCGAGGACAAAGTTCTGCCACTCAAACTGAGTGTCTCCAGATTCGGGACGGTTTGACAAGAGGTAGTATCTCCAGACGGACGGAGAGATGCCGATATCCTTCACCTGGTTTCCAAACACGCCGACACCTCTCGACTTGGAGAATTTGCCGTTCTCGTAGTTGAGGTACTCGGTAGTTGACAGATGGTTTAGCATGGTCCACTTGTAGCCGGTTCCGATTTCTGAACCAGGGAAAATGACAGTGTGGAAGGGCACATTGTCCTTGCCCATGAACTGGTACAGCGTAACGTTGTCTGGGTTCTTCCACCACTTCTCCCACTCATCCGTGTAGTTGGCCGTGATGGAGGGGTATCCGATACAGGCGTCGAACCACACGTAGATGACCTTTTTCTCATACCCAGGCAGCGGGATAGGGACACCCCACTTCAGATCTCTGGTGATACTGCGGCCCTCGAGGCCCTTGGTCAACCAAGACTGGGTAATGCCGACGCCATTCTGCGGCCATCCGTACTTCTTGTGCGCCTCCTCAAACCACTTTTCGATATCGGACTGAAGCATGTCGAGCTTCAAAAAGATGTGCTTGGTGTCGCGAGGGATGGGTTGAGCGCCATCAACCTTGCACCGGGGGTTGATCAACTCAAAGGGGTCCAAAAGCCCTCCGCACTTGTCGCACTGGTCACCTCTGGCATCATCATAGCCACACTTGGGACAGGTTCCCTCGACGAATCGATCGGCCAGGTAGCCATCATGCTTCTCACAGTACGGCTGCGTCGTGGTACGTTCCTCCAGGAATCCGTTCTCATGTAGTTTTAAGAAAATGTCCTGGACAATCTCTGTCTGCTTCTGGGTGGTGGTGCGGCCGAAGTGATCGAAGCCAATCTCAAACCAGTCGTAGACCTCCTTGTGCTTGACGTGGAACTCGTCACACAGCTGCTGGGGGGTCTGGCCCGTCTCCAGCGCTTTCGTCTCCGTGGCAGTGCCGTACTCGTCTGTTCCGCAGATGTAGAGGGTCGGGCGATCGCGAAGCTTGCTATATCGCGAGAAGACATCGGCACTTAGCACGCTGCCCACAATGTTGCCCAGATGAGGGACATTGTTGACATAGGGCAGAGCACTGGTGACAAGGATGTTCCTCTTGCCCTCGACGGGCAGGATGGGATTATCAACCGGCATGTCAATTCTTTTCGTCCCCAAAATCTTTCTGTGGCAGGTTGTATGGGCGAGGAAATGCGGCTTGTCGCTCTCAATGGCAATGGGGTGTGGCGATTGTTAAATATTCGAGCACGTAGGAGGAGGCAAAGCACGTAACTACTGACTGAGTCATCCGACGTGAGGTCTGGGCTCTGCGCGACGTGGAAATGGAGGGGTCAAATTTTTGGTGCGGAAAACCCAGCCCCTCCTCCGATTGAAGGAGGGGCAGCCACGCGATCTCGCTTTGACATGCAGGGTTCATGGAGCGCCCTGGATGTCATGAATGACATGTGCGACAACATTGTAAGGGACCATCTCTAGTCGTCGGTCTGCCGTTTTTCAAGCATTGGAATCAAACCATGGGCCTCGACTGCTTTCCTCCCAGCTTTCCTCCCCGCCGCATTTTCATGTGAAAGCTCACAGAACCTCGCAGTGCCAGGCCAATGACTCTCCAAGCCTGCACGGAAATACACTCTATGCTCAAGTAAACACCAGATAGCGTCCAGTGTTCTCTCACCCATTATACATCAAGATTGCCCGGCTTTTACTCCGTTAGTGCACCTCTAATCGAGGGACCCTTGCCAACAGAGAAGACGTCAATCTGATATCCCCCAAACCCAAAAGCCCCACTGAGTCAGACTCCCTACCCTGACCACCTACAATATACGACCTCAATCTTTGTCATCGCCACCCTGGTCTCACCACCACTTCCACCACCCTTCCCCCCATATCCCAAGAGCATGCCTTCCACACCAGACCCCTTCGACGATGTTCTCAATCTCGAAGACAACTTTTACCAACGAGGCTACAGCCAGGGCCTTGCCGACGGCGAAAAAGCAGGCCGCATGGAGGGCCGCTCCTTCGGCATGCAGCAGGGTTTCGACAAGTTCCTCGAGAGTGGCCGCCTAGCCAGCCGAGCCATCGTATGGGCCAACAGAATACCGCCCCGGGCGAAACAGAGCCCAGCAGAAGGGGGCGGGTGCTCGGACACGCAGGAGGACAAGAAGACATGCGCATTGCCCTCGCTGCCGAACAATGCCAGGCTAGAGAAGAATGTGAGAATGGTGTACTCCCTAGTGGAGCCGGACACGTTGTCGACAGAAAATACAGACGAGGCGGTTCAGGATTTCGACGACCGGGTCAAGAGAGCCCAGGGAAAGGCCAAGGTCGTCGAGAGGATGGCCTCGTGAAGGCACGATTCATACTTTCGGTTGCGTGACCACCTGGCGTGGGATAAAATAATGTACGGAATACACGGCGCGGCGGCATATCTTTTAATGAAAAAACTAGTCTTGGATTCATCCGCTACAATAGTTTAAAAATGTGTAGAAAGCGTTTTTTGAATTCTCATCACAAAGGAGAACCAGTTCTATGGCCTCGCCGTGCTACATGTCGTATGTACAAGTCATCGCGCCCCTTCCAGCCCCCAGACACCATCTATATAAAAGTCCGGCAAGGGTAGCTAGGGGCAGTTAGCGAATCACTCTCTTCCTACAAGGAACGTACATCGCTCCGGTAACACTCACCCCTGGGGATATGTATTCTCCTCCGTCAGCTCATACTTGTACACCTTCCACGAGCCCGACGCGAGGCTCTGGCCGCTAGGCAGCGGCGGCAGGCCGTCCACAAAGACGTCCTTGCCGCTCGTCTTCTCGAGACACTTGGCCAGACCCGTCTCGCCCTCCTGCTTCGCCGCGACGAGCTGCTTCTCGCCCGCCTCGCCAATCAGATCAACCTTGGGTGCGGCGGCGCTCCCAATCGTCAGCAGGCTAGCCACGTCGGCCTGGTTCATGACGCTCAGCTTGGGGTAGTGGCGGCGGTGGTCGCGCTTCCAGTAGGGGTTGTCGGCGATGTCGCCGGCCGGCACGGTGACGGGGTCGTCGTAGGCCATGGGGTCGTTGCTGCCGGGTGGAGGGTTGCGGAAGTACGGGTTCAGCGGCACGCCGTTGGAGCGGTTGGCGTCAATGGAGAGGGCCTTGCGGATGGATTCCCACACTCCGGTGGACTGGACGGTTTGTTTCTATCGCGAGCAGACGGTGGTGTTAGCATGGTCGGAGGGACCAATTGATTGGGTGGCATGATTTGTGGTCGGCATTGGAGCATACCTTGGCGATGGAGACGACGCCTCCGGCAGCCTTGGCCACCGCTTGAGCCGACATTGTGACGTTGCGACAGATTGAGTGCGGTCGCTGGGATGGGGTTGACGGATAGACGAGCGTTTTGAGGTTGGATATGCGGTCGTGATCATTGGGTGTCGGCTTGGGGCCGGTGTTTTGCCGAGACGGCTTACCCTATACCAATTCCGTCGCATTTATTCACGGGACTGGCTGGGACTCGATCTCGACTCAAATAAGGTGCTCCCAGATCAACAAGCTATCGGGCGGGTTCCCTTGATATGTTGATGAGCTTCAGTTGGGAGTCTCTCGATCGTTAGACGCCAAACAATATTCATGCCAGCATTGCATAGGCAGGGCGTACTTGTACAAGCACCATGTGCCTACTCGTCGTGACCAGAGAACCGCGATATGGGAAGTACCAAGGGAAACACGATATGGAGTTAAGATTCATGGCTGCGCGCCAGCAAAACCGCTACATGGCGGCAAAACACAGGTTGCGTGCAAGTGACTCACTCCAAAACTCAAATGGCCGCACACAACATATTTGATAGTAATAAGTTCTGCGCTCATTGGCAATCCGTGATTCCTTTCCCCTCTTCCTATAACAAGAACCCTGATGCAACTGCAAGTTGGCGCCCGCAAACCAAACTACCCGCAAGACCTCGCGTCTGCCTCAATAGCTTCCTAAAGCAAGGTCTCATAGGTAAGACCCGTACCTCCGTGATTACAAAAACCGTGTCATCCAACCCGCGAGATCGCCAACCAAAGTCAAGACCCAAAGCGCACCATGAACAAAAACAAAAAGGGTAATTACTTCTTCAACTCCTCCACCAAAGCCTTGACCTTGTCCACGGTCCCGGCAGGACTGCCCGGCTGGGCAACAAGCACCTTGCCCTTCTTGTCAACCACAAACACACCGCGCTGCGTACCCTTGGGCTGCTTCTTGAGCCCAATGGCGGCGATGAGAGTGGCCTGCGGATCACACAGCAGCGGGTACGGGAGCTTCTGCTTCTCCTTGAACGTGGTATTGGCCTTGGGCGAGTCTGCACTGAGGCCGTAGATGGCGAGGCCGTCGGCGGTGAGAGGGGCGTAGGAGTCGCGGAAGAGGCAGACCTGGTTTGTGCCTGGTTTTGATACATCAGCGCCCCGCCAACATGTACATGAGAGGGTGACGCGCGCAAACGGAATGCGATGAGGAGCCAAAAAAAAAAAAAAAAAAACTTACATCCCGGCGTCGAGGCCTTGGGGTAGGTGAACAGGACAACGCCGCTCCCGCTCTCCTCGAGCAGCTTCTTCAACGTGGTCGTTTCGCCGTCGTTGGTCTGGATCTCTCCGCCGAAACCATCCAGGTCAATGACTTGGCCGACGGCGACTTTTTTGCTCGACGGCGCAGCAGTGGGAGGAGGAGAGGCAGCAGCAGCAGCAGCAGGAGCAGCGGGCTTCTCGTCTTCCTTCTTGGCCGCGGGCTCTGGCTTCTTGGACTTGGCCGGCCTGCCAGGCTTGGTGGCCTTCTTTGCAGCCGGCGCCGGGGCAGGCGGTGGCTGCGGTGCCTTGCGTTTGCGCAGTTCGACGGGCATGGTGGTGGCTCTCTGCAAGGCTGGCGACGCTGGCTTCAAATTCAAACAAGAGCAAATGGCGTGGGAGGGCGGCAGAGGTGTGAGAGAAGTTTGAAGGGTAAAAGGGGGCCGGATGGGAGAGAATCCAGCTTGCGCCAGGTCTTATCGGCGCGACAAGAGAGCGCACTTTGTCGCAAAGGACGTGGCAGAGCAACCGAAACCAGACATTGACACAGCACAACATTGAACCGACACCACACAACACCACAGAGGGCGGCGGGCGGCACAGGCCGTCTGGTCAATCATTGATGTCGGGTGCGCGTGCGCTGGGCGGAGCACCTCCGTCTGGTGGCCAAGCGACATCGAACATTGAACACTGGAACAGCCCCCGGCACGCTGGACGCAGAGCCCATGGTCTTTTTGCCCTCTCCAGCGCTGCCCCTTTCAATTTTCCCTGTCCGCTTCACCTTTCGCACATGCGTGCATCTGGGCTGCTGGAGGAGGCATCGGGTTGAAGTGTTCTGGACCGCCAGCCCCTGTGGCCGGTTATTCTGGTTGGTCGGGGAAGCTTGCAAAGTCGAGCTCCAATCCGGGCCGACGTGATGTGACGTGCTTGTGGGTGAGGCCTGCAGGGAGCTTGGGCCACCGGCATCCACACCAGTTGACTATATAAATATGTGTGCTCGACTGCTACCCGGCGCTTGCCTGGTGCGAGCTCCGGGTTCGACCCCCAGGCCTTGGAGTGATTTTTTTTGTTCAACGTCCCCCTTTCACTGTTCGCACAGCCAAGTTCAACGCCTGCGCCTGTCGTTTTCCAGGCGACCGTGGCCATCTTATGCCACCAGACCCGTTTGTAACTAAAACGAGCTTATAAACACCGGGTAAACAAAGCCCTCCAAAAAAACAGCATCCAGTACTCGCACCTTGCCGTTTCGCAAATCCCTGAACAGAGACTTGCACCACCCACCGTCATCCCGATCAGATCAACCGACGCCATTGTCAAATCTACCACGGGCACGCTCTGCCTTGTCCATCGCCAGTAGCGAGCACGCCCAGATCCTCGATTCACGGCATGGACCCTCGCGTACGTCCAACCCTGCCCTGATCCAACCGCCACCCTCCCCAATGCCAGCAAACAAAAACATGCGCGCACATCATCCTTACGCTTGGTAGAAATTCATGGCGCCCGTCGCCGCATTCACCATGGCAAGCCTCTTATTCGTGTAGGCGCCCCCGGGGCATGACCACGCACATTTGTACTCGACTGACCGATGTAGGTACACGAGGTCATCCATCAGAGCCGCCAGGAGGGAGTCGGGTCGGAGATAGCACATATAGATGCAAGGCCCAAATGTAAATGCACAACACATAGAACCCGAGATGTGGCTGTATTAAAAAAAAAACTCCCACGCCATGTATGTACAGGTAATGCTACACCATGCCCTGCCCACTCCGCCTTCATGTTCCCCTTGATGGTCTTGCGATATTTCCATGCTCCTCTCATGCATGCCCCTCAGTCTCTCAACACTCTTCCATCGCTCTCCTTGCTTAAAGTCTAGAATAAAGAGCAAGCGCGTCCGGACGAAGGCGTATTGTGACCAAATGGTCAAAAAAAAAAAATAACAGGCGGATAGATTTCCACTCCATAAACCAGGTTCGTCTATAGCTACAACCGTCTCCATGTGGGGGTATCTCGGGCTTTGCTCGTAGTATCAAGCAGCCACGTCCTCTGATAAATATGTATATATAGCATGTATGTGTTATAAAAAAGAAAGATGAGGTGTTTTTTCCGGGTCAGCGGTGAGGGCTCCATGTGAACTTTTGGCGACGCAAATTCCGCCTCACTGCCCACTCATGATTGGCTTTTGTGCATGTGCATCTTGGCCCTGCCCTCTTCCTTTGCTCGGTGGAGGAATCTCATGACGTATTCGTATGTCAACATTGTGACGGTGGCCGCGGGCACAGCACGCATCATGTTGGTCCCCAAGCCGGCGTAGAACGCCCTCCAACCCTCCTCCCGAAGGATCGTTCGAAACGTCATGACAATGCCGCGGTATTTGCGGCCGTCGACTGTGGGGTCCTTGGCCGGGTCTGGTGCGGCGATGCCCAGCCCTTGTAGAAACTGTTCACCGGCTACTGGCCGCCGTTGGGTTTGTAGTCGAGTTCGGATAACTTCATGCGGATAAGTGGCGCTGCTGGCCAGGATCTTGGAGAGCACCGATGCTGAGAGAATGCCGAACCAGTGTGCTTCTCCTGCACCCTCACCCATCCCCTGGCCTGTGAACTGGGTCTTGAGATATTCATACGTAGGAAACTGAACGGCCACGTGGGTCAATCCGAGGAGTGCAGGCGTGAGGCCGGAGTAGAACGATACTAGCCCCTCGGACGTGTACATTTTGCGAGCAGCGTCAAGCGTAGATCGATAGTGCCAGGGGTGGTTCAGCGTCGGTCTGGCAGTCGGGGTGTTGCCAGGCTTCGGAAACATATAATGTGCATGGTCTCGGGCAGGAGAGTGGCTCTGTGACATGAGCCGTGTTTTAATAACCCATATCGGATTGGTGACAATGGTGCTACTGGCGCCAGCAATGATGGAAGACCAGAAGTTGATCAGATGTGTGTTATCTGCAATCATGTCAGTAAAGGACAACCCACGGAATCGGGCCGTTCGACCATGGGACGAGCGGGAGAACCTACTAGAGTACTGGGCCATCCAGACCTTGCTCTTGTTATAGACGGTAAACCAAACTGCCCAGGTAGGCAAGTATCCCATGACAATGGGACCCAGACCACGATACATGCCCCGAATGCCCTCCTCCCTCCAAATCACACTGGCCGTGCCACTCAGACCATTATACATCCTCGGTTGTCCGACGTGCCGCCCATCTTGCAGCACTCTATACACACCCTGCGCCTGAAGCTTCGTCTTGATGACGTCAAGGGGACAAGTGATGACTCCGGAGGTGAATCCGCCCACGGCACCGGCCACGGCGTTGAACTGCGAGTCGGAGGCAGAGGCGGCCCATTTCTGAAACGGGGTCGGCCCGGCGTGGTGCATTGGAAAATCGGCCGAGGGTCGATATGAGGCTGTTGCATGTTCTGGTGACGGGGAAGCCCTGCCTGGTTGGGCGGATTGGTCGTGAGACATGCCCCTTCGTGTGGCGGCGGTGAAATGGCTATCTGAAACCTCACTGCCGGGCGTTTGTACTCGGGACTAGGGCACACGGCGCGGCGAGAATATCGATGAGAAGCGTAGCCCGACTCGGGGTGGATATTGGGGGCCGAGGCCTGGATCTCGTCCAACTTGGCAAGGCTCAAAGTCCCCCTCCCCGAGCGGTGGGAGTTGCGCGTTGTGTGTGTCCAACAAGTGTCGGGGTTGCTGGGAAATCACAGGCCGACCAGGCCGGGCCAGGTTCGACGGCGCCGCGGGGCGTCGCTGTGATTTTGAAAAGGAGAATAGCAGCAGGCAATGTCGCTGCTTTATAATCGAGAGCACCGCGCTTGAATCGCTTGAATCATTCGAGCCGATGCCGGTTGAAAGGGACTGGCGGATACTGCGGGGAACGCACCGAAACGCTCCCACTCGCAGAGACCGTATCCCACCTAGCGAACAGCCGCGGCCATTGGCCTTTTTCAGACGTGGAGAGGAACTCGGACAATGCAAGGGACCAAGTGAATGGTCGTGCAAGCTCGGGAGACTGGCGACAGGAAGCGACGACAAGTAGGCGGTTTTTCGCGGTGGTATGGGTGGTAAGTGTACGGGAGAGGAGGAGAGTTGGAGTGTGGTAGATTGTCAAGGTGAGGTCAGGGCCCAGAGTGAGGAAAAATGTGGGCACTAAACCTGGTGGAGCGGAGAGACATGACGAATGACGAGATCGCTAACATTTGGAGGGCTGCAGGCCGCTAACGGACCTGGACGGAGTTGCGCCCCAGTGCCCGCGGCGCGGCCTGTACGGAGCCCCGAGTACTCCAAATGTTCAATGCTGGATGGACCAGCCAGACACATGCATGGAGCAGTTACTCCGTACCAGCATCCCATCATTAAGGCTCGTCAACCGCCAGCGCTTGCCAGTCACAGCATGTGCTCGATATCAATTGGCCTTCTTGATGCTACGCCGTCGCCGTGCGCATGTGTATGTACATGCTGGCATCCCCTCATGCGTCCAGATACTCCGTACGCCGAGAGCGCATTGTCGTCGCGGAATATTTACCAACGCCGAACAGCGGAGGCGACGTGGAGGCGGTGATGCTTGTTTGAGATTGAGCAGTGTTTGCCAGCCGTTCTCTCATCCCACCTTGGCGTCTGGCTGCAGCCCATGATCCAAGACACCAGCACCATCTGACCAGTTGGCATCTTTACACAACGACCCTGTCCCTGTATGGAGGAGCGGGTGGCCTTATCAGTCTGGTGTCCATTACTCAATCCTGCATCATCGTGCAGCAACGTCGCGTGCTGGCCACCACGCCGCTTCGAACTCGGTAAAGGCATCCTCGTAGCTTTAAGGTCTTCGGCTCACGTGGGTACAAAACAAGGAGCGACGGCGCCCTGAACCCTGGGAATGGGTTCGGAGCTACGGTAAGGCGGATCCCGTGGGAACCGTCGACGGTCCAACATAGACATGGGACAAAGGCCTCTCTTTCTTGTTCAGTTGCCGAAAGCTGAGCGCGTGCAAGGAATGCCATGCCCCAGGTGCAGGGCGCACGTCTGGTGTCAACGCTGGGAGCAGCCAGTTGCAGAGCATGCCTCGGCTGCGTACTTGGCATTGTCCTGCAGTGTAGCACTCACAAGGGCAGTGATCAAATTTAGCTCCTGTGCTTTCAGGCACCGTTCTTGTCAGTGAAATCATCTGATTCCAAGGTGTTGCGACCACCATGTTCTGACGATTATACCCGAAAGTTGCTACCTGAGGTTTCAAGGAATGATGGCCCAACACTATCTAGGACATGATTGGAACACGATTGAAACAGGGACTCCAAGGGCATAAATCCCCAAGTAAATAAAAAAAGAAAGAAAGAGAAAAAGACAATAAAAAAAAGAAATATCCATCTACCCTCGCGGTATTTTATAAATCTGCTTCCCGCGACGCCAAACCTGGCATGACGCCAGGCACAACGGAAAAGCGTCCGTAATAAACGCCCCATCTTCCCATCACGTGCAAAGCCACCGTTTCTCTCCCGGGAGCTCATCAATCACGTGACATTCCGAACGGCTCCCCCCAATCATCGTCGCCGCATTTCACGCATCCCGGGTAAAAAAGGACAGCCCAGATCTCACTCACCTCACCTCTATATCTCACACTCCGACTCCTTCCCACAGTCAACCAGCCCCATTGCCCATCATGAGCGGCTACTCTCTGGCTCCCTTCATCCTCCGCCGCCCCTGGCTGGCCAACATGGTCATGCCCGCCGCCAACTGGTACGCCAATGCTGCCGGATACAAGAAGCTCGGCCTGAGGTACGCAACACACCCCCAACACATCCCGACTCCCGACTCCCAGCAAGCCCGCACCTTCTGGCCCCCCCAATCTCGCTCCCGCACGACGGACATGTCCCAGCAACAGATCGGGGCCAGCAAGAGGACGGCGTTTCGCACCAATGGCCTCCAATGGGCACCGCAGACCGTCAAACTGCCGCCGCGAGTACAAGGACCTAGCTAACCCCAGCACGACGCAGATACGACGATCTCGTCGAGGAAGAGCGCGAATCCACCCAGATTGCCCTCAAGCGCCTGTCACCCAAGGAGTCGTACGACCGCATCTACCGCATCCGCCGCTCCGTCCAGTGCAGCTACCAGCACAAACTGCTCCCCAAGGACCAGTGGACAAAGCCCGAGGAGGTGCGTCTACCCCCCCTCCTTGCATTGGGGGACGTAGGTCCGCTAACAAACGACAGGATACGCCCTACCTGCGCGACATCATCGCCCAGGTCGAGACCGAGCTTGCCGAGAAGGATGCCCTTGACTCAATGACCGTCGCGAAGCGACACTAAGGGGGTGGTTAGGATGTGGAAGGGCAAAAAAAAAAGAGGGAATACGGGGACGATTGGCAATACTGCGCGAGCAAGTTTTGCGCGACGATCAACAGACTTGACTGTCGAGTGTACGCTTACCGGAATTAGTTGTTAGTGGATAGACGTGCCTAAATGTAAAGGAAACGCGGCAAATCGCCTAGTGCAATATACAACTTCTCACATGTATCTTTTTCCGTCCCACTGGTTGTCCGACGAGAGGCGGTGCGGGAGAATGGACTTGGGAGTAGCATAAAATGCTACCTACAGTCAATGGTGGAATCGATTCGCCCATCAAGAAGCATACACTGATATGCTACAGTGTACCATAGAATAGAGCGCGATGACTACCTACAGTGGGTGTAGGTAGGTGCTTGACCTGGTTAAATACCTAGGTGCTTTTTGCCTCTGACTGCAGCTCAAATACATAAAGCAATCATCAAGTACCCTTTTGCGGCATCACTTGCAAGCCCCTGATCATAGACTCCCCGTGCTTCCGTGCACACAAAGTCTGAAACTGATTTAAAGGGCACTGGTAGTAATGATGCTTAATTCTTCTGTTGTACACTGCAGTGTGCTATGTAATAATGCCCCTCATTTCTCTTATTAATATGACACAGTCCACTTCTTCCCCCAACAAGTTCAAGAATTCTAGTCCCAAATCTTACATGCGCTGATAGAACAACAAGTACGCCACCTTGTTGTCTTTGATGTTGTCCTTGACCTGTTTGTCTTGTGAGGGTGCGTTGGCGCTATTGACTACGCTGCTCCATCTCTTGCCTCCGCTGGCGGAAGTTGTGACCTGCTTCCAGCCATCCTTGTCCCCGGAGTCTTCGTCATCTATTGCGCCAAAGCGGTTGGCTGAGGCACTCGCGGATGAGTTCTGCTCTTTGCGGGTATCCTTGACCTCTTCCTCGGCTCCAATTCTGGCAACCTCTTCGCTGCGGATCCGCTGGAGTACGGTGTCGTCCATGCGAATCCACTCTTGGCCGTCTTGCCGACGCACATCAACTGTGTAGTGGCCGCCGCTGGCGTTCTTTCCATGATGGTACACAACACTAATTAGTTTATACCGGGGCAAAGGCCCGTCGCCAATGTTTTGACGGCGCTGTCTGGAAAGCGCCTCACGCGGAATTTCAAGCTCCAAGGGGTATCCGATCTTCTTCCAAATCTTGATGGTGCCGTTGGCTGTGGCATCGAACTGGAAACGTTTGAGGTGCAGGATGAGAACTGGCGGCAAAGATTCAATAAAGACCTGTTTTGTGGCCAGTACATCCTTGCCCCGAGGGGAATTGAAATCTCCTTGGAGGCGCTCGGGCCTGGTAAGCCCTCTCAGGGCATCCACGACATTCCGTACATCGGGCGATCCAATGTCCAGTTGTAGCGGTTGGTATGGCTCTGTAGTAATAGAATCCTTGAGCCCCGGGACCCGGAATTCGGATCGCAACAGTCCACCAAAGATCTTCGTTATGGGTGAGGAGGTGTTTGATCCCGATGATCGACTGACGGCGGCTTTCTGCTTGCGGCCAACCTCAAGCCAGTCTCCTGAAGGCGCGGCAGCTTCGTGGTCAATAGACTTCTCGTCTGGAACTTGTTCTGTTTCACCGGGAAAGGACTTGTTCATAACAAGAGTGCATTCGTCATCCAGGGACTGAAGTAGGAAGCCAAGGAATTCCTCAGCATCTTGCTGGTGACCACGCTGGTATGTGTTAGCATAGATATCAACGTGGATATCCTCGCAATTGGAGCTATACGTACTCTCATGCTGGCAAATCGTGGAAGCTGCCTTATGGCTTCGTAAACGAATTCTGGAGTAAAGGGCTCGCCGTATAGCTCAAAAACCTGAGACTTCAAAGTGCTGCGAAGCTGCTTAGAAGACGACGCAGATGCAAGAACCTTGAACTCCTGCAAAAACATGACCCTTTTTATTCATGTTAGAATCTGATAAGAGCCGAGGGGCCGAAATCTGGCTTACATTGCATCTACCAGAGGTGTTTCACTCTTGAAGCTGTGAGCAGCCCTTTTGCTTACTTGATCGAGAAAGTCGTAGAAAGGAGCACAAAACATGAGCACTTGCAACACCTAGACAATGGTTAGTAGTCAGCAATTGGTGTGACTCTGAATGAGGACATACAGAATTCATATAACACATGTTGCCCGTGTTAACGAGACCACGAGGCTCAATCAACGTAGCCTTTTCAGTGCGGTCGACCTTGAAGGATCGGATGGCTTCCCCTAAGAGACTCCTGTTGGCCTGGGAGAATTTTGACCCAGGCATATCGGGAACTGTAGCAGCCTCGACTGCATCGCCATTGACCGATGTAGTAGTGCTAATACTGTTCAGGGTTGCCACGTTCTGGGCGGCCGGCTTCGCAAAGAGGTTTGCCCAGCTGGTTGGTGCAGCCTTTACCGGAGGAGCCGGCGCAATAGCCCGTTCGTCTGTCGCCTTAACATCCTCGGCCATGGCACTTTTGTCACTCTGAGAAGACCCCTCCCCATTTGGGGCGCTGTTGGCGCTGTGGCCGTTCGTCTTTTGACCGCGACCTTCCTCGTGTGCTGTTTCGGAGAGAGCGGGAGTCGCATCACAAGATGCGGTTGGGGACTGACTAGTATGGGCTCCTACAGCAGGCTTAGAGTCGGACTCGGCCGCCTCGCTTGCAGGTGGTTCAGCCTCTGTAGGAACTGCTTTGGATGCAGCAGCATCGGTTGAATCGGTAACACCTTCGCGTTGTTCAATGAGAAATGAAATGGGTTGCTCGTTGAGGGGAAGGAGCCTTCTTTTTGTTCGGGACCGGCGAGAACGTTGAGGAAAGAGAGCATCAGGCCTGGAGAACCAAGGAAGCTGGTTTCGGTGATTGTTAGCTCACAGAAAATTGCGCCATACCCGGCCTACATTGGCACGACTTACAGGAGGCCGAAAAGGCTGCTGCTTCAGCACCACGACAGGCTTCCTTGGCCCCGTTGGCTGTGGCGCTTCGGTAGGTTGTGGTCGAGGTTGTGATTGAGAAGGATCCCGTTGAGCAGTTTGTGGAGTGGGAGGCGTCTGGGGGGGAAGCGTCTGTGATGAATGAGTCGATGACGGGGTCTGCGGCGGGATCGGAGCAGGTGCTGGAGGAGGCCGATATGGCGTCGCGAGATTCGGTGACTGTTGATTTGGGCGCGGATAGTTCGGAGGGACGCTGACGCCTACCATGGGAATGTATTGATGCATGGCGGGCGGTGATCTTCCATACGTCTGGTAGGGAGCGTAGGTCGGTGATGGCACACCCCCGCCGGGGTATTGCGGAGGCATGCCATAATACTGTTGCTGCGGCGCATAAGACATGTAATTCGGATATATTGGGCCCGTGTGTTGATGGTGTCGCGGCATAATATGGTTCCTGGTGGTCCGACGGTAACCCGCGAGGGCTGCGACTGCGTGAACGGCGCTTTGCCTCAAAAGAAGTCTTTATGCCAAGGCCTGTAATGCGGTCGGAACTAGTTAAGCGGTTCGCATGATGTCGAAGAGGTGCGCGGTGCTGCTTAAATGCGAAAGAGCAAGGCTCATCAGCTAGGTGACACAGAGAAGACAAGGCGTTTAGCGACGCCCGAGTATATTTTTTTTTGACTTTAGTCGCCAACTCTTCAACCGAAATAGAGCTTTCTTATGCTCCATCCCTCAACTCCTTTCAGAGGAAAAGAAAACGATGCCACGGCACACTCGTTCCACGCGTGACTGACGTGGGTGGCAGCCAAACTGGAAATGGTGCCTGGGATGACGTACCGGAACAATGGCCTGGGCCGCAGTTGAACAGCAGCAGGTACAAACAGACGATTGCGATCCGAAGGTGAGGGAGTTTGGGAACTTGTGAACCGAGGCAGAAGCTGATGCGAGACACCGCAAAGTTTGAGTCGAGACACTTAGCAGCTCCGAATAATTACCCGTCAGCGAGTAAGTGGACGAGCCACTTAGTCAGCCACAGAAACAAGGGACAGCCACAAAAGCCGGGGATAGCCTCACGTGATTTTTCTACTTCTCTTGCTCCGAATGTATTTTCTACGAGAAGAGAACCTTGTTAACAATCAGATTAATTATCATCTTACGAATTCTTTTGACAAACGCTTCTGACCTAATGCGAGGCCGACACAGTAAAATAACTTTCAATTGTGATGGCTGCAACGAACCCACCGAGCGATTCTAGTCGACGAGCCCCGCGACGGATTGATGTCGCGACGCATTGGAAGTTGCCTTGGTGAAGAGATATACCCTGGGATTGTGTCTGAATGCTGAGACCTGCATGTCTCCCTGTTTTTTGTTACCTTCACTGAATACAGGAAAACCTTGCGTATGAGATATTGCAACTACTCGTTACACAATGAATCCTATGGGGCTCGTGATATCCGCGGGCTTGCATTTTTGGCAGTTGAGGTCACAACAACATATATTTTCCTAGTTCAAAGCCTACGCTAATATGCCGTGGCATCTTGTAGCAATAGCCTGATGAGTGAGGTAGCTTGACTGGTCAACTACTCTCTGCCGCCTACTCTGTTAGTGACACGTAAGAGCATCGGAATACTCAGGCCAAGCAGCCGAAAAGTGAAAGCCGTCATGCCAAGGTGAATTGCGAGCCCGAGTTAACCGATGTTGCAACTCACATCCCAAGGCGAAGATATACCGCGTCCATCATCATCCATCAACTCGAGCTCCCTCACCCGACCGGCAGCACACCCGGCTCTCCGTGACCACAATCCATCCCCAAACAACACGTCTGCTCAAGCATCACCAGAAACCTACTCCGGATACACCATCTTCCTAGTCACTCCGCCGTCAACCACCATCTCCACGCCACTCACCCCCTGCGCATCAACCAAATACGCAACTGCCCTTGCAACATCGTCCACCTTGCCAACCCTCCCCGTCAAATGCCACCTCATATCCTCCTCGCTCAGCCCATCCTGCCACCCTACCCCATTCTCATCCGCCTCTCTGCACTCGTCCCCAACGTGTATCCAGCCCGGCAGAATCGCATTAACCCTCACGCCCTTTCCGCCCAGCGAAACCGCCATGCTCTGCGTCAGCCCCAAAAGCCCAGCCTTTGTAGCCGAGTACGCCTCGTTATCGGGCTCGCTCATCACCGCCCTCGTGGAGGACACGTGAATCACGCACCCTCCCGCCACGACCAACATGTCCAGACAGGCCTGCGTCATGAGCATCGGCGCCGTGAGATTCGTCTGGATGCTCTTATTCCACTCCTCCAGCGTCATGTCCCGGAGGGCCAGGCCGCCCACGCCCCCCGTGTAAGCGGCATTGTTGACCAGGCAGTCCAGGCGGCCGGCGAAGAAGGACCGCGCGTGTTGGGCGGCGAGGGTGATGGCGCCCGGGGAGCAGAGGTCGGCCACGCACGTGGAAAACGTGTCGCCGGCGTGCGCCTTCGACAGCATGCCCGCCGTGTGCTCGAGCTCGCGGGCGTCGACGTCGACGAGGAACACGCGGTGGCGGGAGGCGAGGAGGTGGCGGGCGAGGCCGCGGCCGATCCCGCGTGCTGCGCCGGTGATGAGGAAGTTCTTCGACATGAGGAGATGGTTGTGCCGCTTTTCCTACATGGCTTTGGAGATGGAGATGGGCAAGTTTGGCGCGAGTGGCATGGACCGAGTTGATGACGGATGCATCGTTGATGGGACCCGCTCTGGTTGTTCTGGATCGGGGACGGAGACCAACTCTGCATTTACTTGCGGGAGATGATATCTACCGTAAGAAATATAGAAATGGAATCCGCTCGTATTTATTTGAAACCACATGTCTAGATACGTCCTGCAATGGGCGTGACATTACAGGGAGGTTGTGAGCCAATGGGAGATGACGATTATATAAAGTATACAAAGTAAGAGAAGTACTCTCTTTTCCCATAAAATGTCTTGTAATGCCAAGTCTCTCTAAGAGTGGTTACAATCTCCTGCAAATGTCTTTAGCAATCCCCTGTATTAATAAAGAGAACAGTTATTAGCAAAGAGCCCCTTGCTTCTAACCCCCTATCAGCTCTCTCGTTAAATCACTAATAGCTAAACTCACAAGTGTTCAGTTTGTATATGCGGTAATTGTACTTATTCAGCATCGAAACCTAAATTCCACTTGAAAACTAAGGACTGTATCCGCATAAGCTAGTCTATGTATTTCTTGTCCACTTGCGCGTGAGTCGTAGATACGCCGAGATAGTGAACTCGTGCTACCAATATACCACAGCGAGTCTCAGGATAACATACAACCGAACTATCAGCCTTGAAATCTCAAATTCAAATTATCCATGTTTAGACTCAGCCCTTGATACACATGGAACCTGTGGCTCTACCGTGTCCCCCCCTTTCGTGCTCGCTAGAGCTGGCCACAATACTAATTTCTAGGTCTTCTAGTATATGTAGGGTATATAAACTCGTAACAGATTGACTTTGTACAGTGTGGCGCCCTGTTTCAAGAACGCTCAGTCACTTGCGCTCGATTTAGGAAGAAGAGCCAAGTGTATTCGGGGACGCTCCTTTTCCGAACACTCGTATGCGCACCCGCCGAGTCTATTGCCAGTGGCAGACATGGACGCGTGAATATTGCCTTGTGACGAGAATGTGACCCCTGTGGACAAGACGAGACAGATAAGGCGGCACGTCTTGCAAATGATTGGCGTTGTCCAGGATCAGCGACCATGGATCATCCCGAGACACCAATAAAGAGTTTCGCCGACCATTTTCCCATAATCTGGCGACAACTGGCATTCACACAAGGTAATTTGGTTTGCATGTGACAAAAGGAACAAGCTGATCCTGGTCACTCTCCTAAAAACCTTCTTCATCTTTTCACCTTCGTAGAAACTGGTGCATGGAATGCATCTCTCCCAGACAAAGCCTTAGGAGTCCGAGTCAAACTGCAAGCTGGGCGGGACGTCACGTTAGTGACCAATGATTACAGACAAGAGGTGCCTATGTGAAAAAGAGATTGCTTTGCCACAATGGACAGTGCGCACTAGCATGCTAGAGTGTACCAGTGCTTCTTTCCTTCTGCGCTCTCTCACACGCCTGCATTGAGGCCGAGCTGAAGGAACACATACAGACTTGGTCACGAGGTACAAAGATCACGAATGAAGCCATAGGGCGGTTCCATAATTATTTTCAAAGAGCCTTTAAGGTAGATGCGAAATCTGTGAGATGGCTCCCGAAACGTAGCGTCGTAAAGACTACGAACCCCCTTGCACAGGCCGTAATAAGCCTCGTCTCGGCGTGGAGAGGGTGATAGCCTCCCAGCGAGGGAGGACGTCAGTTTGTTAGTCGGGGCTCAGAGCAAGGAACAGGGGACGGGAACAAGAAACGTGGAACACGGGGCCAGACGAAAGTTGGGACGGAAGCTCCAGCGTGTTTGAAGCTTGGTGTTGAAACGAGAGCTGAACGGATCGACGTGTGTCTTTTTGGTTATCAAGCCACCCAGCTTATCGGCCGAATAATATGATTGGACGCGCCTGCTGCTACAACCGGGAAATATAGATCAGCTCATGCAAACTATTGAATCGATGGGCAGCTCCCGAGGTTAGTGTGGCAAGTTCGTGTCGTCACTGATCGGCAGTTGAGCAAACCTCTTCGCTATAAGCTGCGTTGTGACATCTCGGAAATTCAACTCGGATTTGTGTTTCTGCTTTCTGGCGTTGAAAGCAAGGACTGGAGTGCATACTCCTGGCCCAGTCCTGGGAGCCCATCCGGGAGCAAATCGCGGATCCAGAATGTCCCAATTTACGAGTGTGTCCAAGTTTTGCAAGCATGACCAGCTAGACCGTGAACGCAAATGAGCCTATTCGAAAGGGGTGAGTCGGTCGGCTCAACCGGTCGGTTCACGCCCAACAATACACTGCAGTGTAAGGCTAAGACAATGTGAGCGCTTACTCGATGGATTTATCCTTTGGAGCAACCAGTGTCCCTGTCGCAAGTCGTGAACATCGTAGACAGGCTCACTGCTCACCATGCTGGCAGTCGGGTTCACCTCGTCACTAAATAATAGGGGATAGCGTGCAATGCGAAAAAGATAGCGTGTAGGGATATGTAGGGAGAGATGATGAAGGACGGTGTTTAGAGGTTGGCGAAGCATACAAGAGACAATATCGATGGAACAGCTTAAAATATGACCGATGTGAGGCTGCTAGACGTCTCAAATGGCTATCATTTGCCAGTGCTTCAAATCCGTGTTGCTTGATTCAGCTCCGAAGGGAGCAAGGACAACCCGATTGCCAAATTCTCATAACCTTCAGCCATGAAGTGGAGGTGACATCGTTCCCAGCTTACAACCGCGGGCTCGGCATGGCATAAGACAAACACGCGTATAAGGATACTATTACAGATCGTCTCCGCGGGGGGCTGTGAATGACCTCGAATGTGCAATAGTCTGGGAAGACTTCATATGCATGGCGGTTTTCTGTTTTTCCGCTGATGGCGCTTACTGCAGTTCAGTGGTGTAGTGAGAACAGAAAGACATGGCTTTTCAAAAGCTTCTAAAAAGTAAATTTGAGCGTCAACAGGTGGTCGTCACATTGTTTCATATCCCTCTAGTTGGTAGTAGTGTGCTTACTTTAGAATGCGGCCAGCATATTGTGTCGCCACGCCTTCTAATTTCCAACATGGCCTTCATTTCGGCATTGAATTCACAAGCAGCGCGCGCCAGGCATTTCGAGATATTAGATATGAAGCTGAAAGTATGAATGAGAAAGTACTCTCAGGTAAACACCGTGCTGCTCATATCATTTGTGTGTTTGCCCGGCGGCAACTTCATGGTGGGTTGACATAGTGATGACCTTGGCGATAAGACCACGTCTTATGTCTTGGAGGTAGAGAAGTGACGCTGACATTTACATTTCCTCAGACTCAAAGTATGATCGTGGTTGAATGAGACTGCCTAGGCGACCTAGGTAGTTGGTGCCCGTCATGAAGAGGCAAGGCTGTACCAATGCATAACATTGACTTTGGCACAATACTGCTAAAGTATCGAGAAGAAAAAAGTGCGGCGATGTACCTGTGTTTCGACAGTTACGCAGGGTTCAAAGTGAATAGTTGTTAAAGGCCAGATTGACAGACATTTAGTCTATTCCATTTACATATGGCAAAAGGGAGCATGATTGAAGGTGACATGATGAAAAGGAATGAAGCATAACAAACCTCAAAAATAATGCGGACAACAGGAGCGTCAAGTTTTGGGAAAAGTTGGCCAGCGCAATGAGTGATATGCACTATTTCGATCAATTTCGGGACAGGACATGAGAATTGTGCAATACTATCAGACAAGGTATGCCCCGGTGAGAGTGACTTTCAGCCTTCTCACCTGCACTTGATGCGATTATGAGCCATATATTTGTCCACACTCCGCACCTGTCGGGGCCGTTGGTAGACATCGACATAGGGGGGAATGTTTCCAGGACTTTCTTTTCGAATATCAGACGTACTGGGCGTATGTGCGACTAGAGCAGTTTAGGTATTGGATTTGCACCCATTGATCCGCGCACAAAAGCGAGGTTAGAAGCAGGGACTGCATCACGAGAAGGTGGTCTCACATGTGCGAGATAAATTTGTCCCTGTCATTGTCTCTGTCTATCCCAATCTTCTTTGCTCGTTTCAAAAGCAAGCTGTTTTGAATGTGATAATATGTCCCGACACTAGCCATGGCCACATGGTGTTGGAACTTCTCCCGTCCTGTTCAGACCATCCGTGGACAGTGTGATAGGACATGGGTTGGCTGCTCAAAACAGGCCTACCTTGTGATATCATTGCACAGGAAGCACCCTTGCTCATGGGGAACGATGTGGCAGTTTCCGGCATGGCATAGGTGGTGATGCGATGGCATGTGCTGGCTGGGGTTTGGGGGCCAATCTAAAGGAGGGGTAGCATCACGGGGCCGGCCCAGGATTTTGGAGTTCGGTAGAACTGAATGACTGAATCAGTTTATTGGGGAGGTATATAGATGAGTCTTGCTGTAAGCAGCTTCATGAATGAAGGTAGACGCATATTTCTGGCTTGTGATGTAGAACCCGTAAATTCGTGTTGAGTAGGCAACCGGATTCACTGGCTGCGATTGATATATAGCAATATACCGGCTCACGCGGTATACAGAAATCGATCAACATCATCTGGTTCCTAGAATTGCACAGTTCAAAGTAGCATCCTCGGGGTCGACGATTTCCTCGACTCACCAATACCTGACACCAACAGCACAGGCTGTTTGTTGCACATCTCTCAACTCCCAGTCTCTATAGGAAGGTTTGAGCTCAGTTTAGATGCGGCTCTTGGGAGATGAGAGCGCAACCCTGACTTCTGAACCGGGGGTTGGTGATTGATGGTTGATGTCACCCCACCCCACCCCAAGTGTTGTGAAAGGGACTCGAGTGAGATGATCGATGAAGTAATGACGGGGAGTTGAAGGTGATAAATACAGCCTTGGATTTTTTGGCCTTCGGCTTCTGCTTTTTCATTTCCTCGGCAATCCGTATTGATGCGTCAACTGTGTGGTACGAAACATGAGCACCCTCCTTGGCTGAAGCAGTTTGTAAGACATGGTGCCACAGTCTCAGGTTGATCTTCGGTAAGGCGAGTGACGCCCCGAATCTCAGCGCATCATGAAGACGTCGTCCGCATCATCTCGC